CTTGAACCGGACGAGGAGCGGAAGAGAAACAGGGTTGAGGTGTGGAAGTGTTATCACATGGAGAAACTACATTCAGGGCAATTACCACGACCATACTAAGGCGTTCTTACGAATTAATAATAGAGGATCTGAAATTGACGCAACTCATGGACATCGACCCGTTCAAACCAAGTGAAACGAATGTTTTCAAGGTTAAGATGTAGGCTTTTTATCTATCGCTTATCAATGCAACTTTGGGATTTAAGGTTTAACTAAACAACTTCTTTTTAGATTGTTCAGCGCTATTGGATATTTTATCATGCCAATGTCATTGTCGTGATAACTTTATGGTCGATTAATATTAAGTAATTTCAATCCACTTTGAGGAATATGGACGATTGTTAGATAATTATATTTATAGAAAGTGAAAAAAATTTTCTGAAACTTTGATTCTTGCAATTATGATAATTTCACATTAATTTCAAACTCTAAATTATTGAACAATTTATTTTACATGCATATATGGCAGCAAGTTCTTATTGCACATTTTATTGGATCATGCTACATGTACCTTTGGTGTACCCTTGGTTTACATCTAAGGGGTACATGTAACCATTTACTCTTAGTAAGTTATTCATTGAGGGTAAATGGGTACATGTACCCCTTGAATGTAAATCAAGTGGTACACAAGGGGTACAAATAGCATTATTCCATTTTATTTTACGTACATATATGGCAAAGTTATTATGAAATTTGATACGGTTTGTTTTAAGGAACAAAAAAAAAAAAAAAAAAAAAAACAATAAATATTAGGGAACTTCTAAATAGGCATCCATTAATATTTTGAAGAGGCATCCATAATGTATAAGGCTGGGCACGGTTCGGATACTCGAGTTTTTTAAGGTATTTGCTAATCGAACCGAACCGAGCAAATATTCGAACTTGTTAACCGAAATCGAACCAAAAATTTCGGTTAACCGAATTTTCGATTAACCGAAAAAAATCTTACTATTCGCAAATTAACCGAACAGAACCGAACCGAGTACCCCGGTTAATCGAAAATTTGGTTTGATTTTGATTAGGATCTACGATTCAGCAGTTCAGTTCGAAATTTTTCCCAGTCCTAATAATGTATATTCTTATGCAAGGATCAAAGTTCATAAATTTATGACTTATGACTAATTGATTTTGGAGAAGTAATTTTGAGGTAGACAGCCCAACACTTGATGTTAGTCGTGAAAAATGTGTCCCCAATTTTTTTTTTTTAAGTAATATATTATTATATTGATGTGCTTTATCTAAGGAATTTTAGTTAAATGAAAAATTTTGAGGGAGATTCTAAATTCTCGTTATAGAATTATTTCGTCGGAATTTGTAATCGTAGATAATGGTTACATGTAACAGTTATAAATTCTGACAGAATGATTAGCATTTCCTTAAATTTTAATCTCAATACTTATTTTAACTTTTAATTATTTTTTCTGTTACATATACTAATTGATTAATTTTATATTGCACAAAATTTTCACATATTACTATTGGTTAAATTAAGGCAGGCTGAGTATATATAGATAATAAAAAGATGGAGATTCAACCTTATCTAGATTTGAATATACGTAAAAAAAACTCGAAACTTTTGGGCTTCATGTAGAAGCTTGAATTTGAAAAGACGCTCACTTTAAAGGGCACTCGTATCCGCCCGTATAACACTAGTTGATACTTTTGTGATTATTTATTTATTCAAGTTTTTCTTGGCTTTATTCTTTCAGTAATGGGTGCAAAAAAAGGCGAGGGGCCTGCAATCGGGATTGATTTGGGGACGACCTACTCATGCGTGGGCGTGTGGCACCACGACCGCGTC